CATTTACTAGCTAAAGCCAGAGAGTAAGTCTGTAGCATAATGGAATGGAAATGGTTAAATTCTTACTTCACACCCTATGTCTAATCTCTCTCTCTATCTGCATAACCTCAGTTCCTTAAAATGCCAAGGGACACTGGATCAAGACACAGACTCAAATAAAATAGCATCAGAAAAAAACCAAAAACAGAAAAAACATTTCTATTTGCAGCTTTCTGAGATATGGAAATTTATGCAAGCAATTCCAAAAACAATTTTTTGGCAGTCCAATTCCTCGCACGGGCATATTTCATTCTCTCTTTTTGCGTTCACGTTACTCAAGAGCATAACAGAGAAGGAGATAACATCTCTGACATTTATGATTATGAGTTCTGAATATTGCTCTGAGTTAGTTCTTGTTCTAGCTTTCATTAAGGTGGTTAAGACCAAGGTCAGGTCTATGAGCAAAGCAGAAACCAAAAAACTCACAAAAGAATTATTTATATAATACCTATGTAATTCTATCAAACCAAAGAATTACATTCCTACCTGAAAAAACATAATCACCCCCATATTTCTTTTCCATCTAGGTGGCAAAAAATGAGATAAAGGATGAGGAGAGGTCTGTTAGAGATAAAACTTAATATCCTTCAGTAACTGAAATTGTGAACACCTATGTTCTTTGTCACACTGATAGATGCTTAAAATCCTAAGCAGTGTGGCTGTTTGACTCCACAGTGCTACAATATTCTCATAGTAACACACTGTAGTGGCAACAATCAGCTACATGATGTCAGTCCTGGCATCATAATGAAATGATGTAAACCTCTTATACATTGACTTCAGTGTCTACAAAAATGAGAGGATTTAAGCATCACTCCTTATGTTATTTATATACATTTTAAAGAGGCATACTGCCCAAAGAGGAAGTGGTTTTCATGAACAGAAGTAAAAACACTAATAAGCGATTTAAATAATTCAGCAGCTCATAGTTACTGAAAAGGTATCACAGCTAAACCCACGTTTTATACACTGCTGAGAGGTGCCCCCTCCCACCTGAATTTGAAGCCTCTCTGAACCGAGCATCAGCTACACCACTGCATCTGATTTGGAAATTAACAACAACGGAGAGCAACGCAGATAAGAAGTTTTGAGTTCATCAGTTTACCCTACGCGTCAAGTAAACATTTGTTTTCCCTATGCTCTGCAGTCTCTAGCAATGGGCAGCCAACCAAATGTTCCTTACAGCCAAAACAGCGTGCGGAAAATTGGGTGTGCACCCCATACTGTAAAACGGTAGCTTACAGATGCCTGGGCTCTACAGTTTCTTCATTGCATTTGCTAGTCTGTCTTCCTTTGCGCTGCATCCGCTCTCAAGACCGCCCTGCTGTTCAGATGCCTTTCTTTTATTAGCGTGCATGCAAAGCCATGCCAACGCAGCCACACAACCTGCAGCTCCTGAAAACACCACATTTTGCATTTCACTTCCCTTTGAACTGGGGCTCAACTCCTGTCCAGCAAACGCTGACATAAGGACTGCAGTCACATGCTTTGACTTTGGCAACATACAGGGTCTGCTTTTCTCTAGCTTTCAAATAAATCTTTGCTCTGCCCTCAGCTACTCTTACCTAGTCCATTCCTGTCATTTTGACTAAAAATAGTTCAGTTATTTTCAGTTATTGGTAAGCTGAGGGCACGCTGCACGTTGCATTACCTGGAGAGGTTCACTGCAGTAACAGCATACACAAAAGACAGCTTTTAGAGGTAGTAACTAACTGTTATCAGGTATCTTTCTGAATCTCTCTCTCCTTCAGAATTCTGGTGGCTAAAGAATATTTCTTAAAAATACCAGTGATAGGGCTCCACAGTAAAACCCACCTAAAAGCCTTCAAGAAGTAATATATAGCATGGAGATCATCTGATTTCCAACTAAAATTACGCTGTGAGATTTTTAATTATTCAGCATAATGTAGCTTAAAATCTAACTTCTATGAAGAACTAGCACAGCTTTAGATGGAAGGGCCACTTAAAATTTTAATCTAAATACAACTTTTGCAATTGCTTATAAAAATTGAATAGCTTGCAGTAGGTGCACAGATATGTATCCAGGGCATATAGCATACAAGAAAAATTACTTCTGCTCCTTTTAAATTGTTACAACAATTTTTCTAAATACTTCAAACGAAGCATGTTTAAGATACCCAGACTACCTTGCTACTTAATGACCAGACTCTGCTGTCCCAGTCCAAAACCTACCCTTTGAACATCATGCCCTTTTTATTGATTTCTACCCTTTCTTTGTTCTTGTAATCCTTTTTTAAGGCAGAGATTCTCATCATCCCAAATGCTGGCATTGCCAGTGGGCAGAAATGTACAAAATGAATTGCTGAATGCGCCCTAGAAACACCGCAGTAACAGAGCACACTGAAATTCTGGAATTTCTGGAGGCTTTGGGAAATCAGGCTCACGTGATTGCTATAAACACTTAGGCCCAGCTGTATTACAAATATATTTGATAAAAATTTGTGATTAAATGTTTCATCAGTAGAGCTTATTGAAAAACATGTTTACTTCAAAACCCAATCTGAGATGTCTTGATGATCAGTTAAATTATGTTTCATGCTTTCAGATCTAGGCTTACGCTACTCTCGCTTGAAGCAACGTTCATGCCTATCCAGTTCTGATGAATGTTTTACGCAGGCTATTGGGGGGTGGATGGGGGAAGGAAGGTGATCTGCGCTCTTTTTAATGAGCACGGAAAAACCTAAAAGGAACAATTTAGAATAAGATTAGCTCCTATTTTCCCAGACTAGTTACTTTCCACCATTAAACCCAATTTATACTTCAAAATACCCGAAGTAATTAAGCTATGTTGTGCTTGCCAATTTACAGAGGCACTTGGGAGTAATATGCATGTTAATCAGGAACATTAACTGCCAGACTATATGAAGTCCACTTCTCATTACTCAACTTATTATTGTTACTTAGAATTGTTTTTCAGTTTTGGAAAAAAAAAAAAATCTTCCCTTCTCCAATCAGATATTCATCTCCGAGAATATTTATTCTGGGCTGTAATACCCATCTGTTTTTAGGGATGACACAAACACTTCCACAATTGTCAGTTACTAAATAGCTTTTTTCTACCAGGGAACAAATAAAGATGCAGGACATTATAATTTCCATTGCTTAGCAACACCTCTTGCTGACGTGATGATGTCCTGGCAAGTTGTTGGAGTCTTTTTCTAGCAGAAAGGAGTTCCTGGGGCACAAGGATCATCAGAGGCAACACCATCATCACCTTTCTTGATGGCTAGCTCTGCTCTTCTTGCTCTCAGAAGAATTTCCATACAAGTAAAATTGCATCCTTTAAGTTTCTTATGAATAGAAATGAGCATGAAATCTATTTTGAATCCTTTCTCCCTGCAGGCTCAGTCTGGCAAGGTGGCAAGTGAATAAAGATGACATGCACAGTTTTAATCATGCCGGACCTACCCGCTACAGCAAACTTGGGTTGAAACGTACCAGACTTCGGCTGTAGAAAGCTTTCCTTACTGGAGAGCAGCAGACTTCTTGAACTGAGTCTCTTTTACCCTAAACATCTGACTACCAAAAGCTTTTCGCCATGAAAACATGAACAAGAACACTCTGAAGATCTTAAAATACACATACAGAATCATCCAGTCTGTTCTCACCCCATGCAGTGACAGTTTGAGACAAAGGCAGTCAAAGATACGCCAAGTTCTCTCTCCCAGACTCCATTATTAAGATTTATTAAATCTACTGGCATGAAGCAAACACTTAAGTTTTTACTAAAGATTATCTGTTGTTTCTTAAAAATACGTTTATATCTTGAAAGGCAGACACGTAATTCAGAAAAACAACTTTAAATAATGAAACAGTATTATTTAAAAGGTACTAGAAGTTTAAATCTATGAACACTATTTATTAGGCAATGTAGTTCTGGACTGCTTTTCAGTTTTGAAGGTTGGTTGATAATCCAGTATTTTATCACTGTTTTAATTCAGGGAGTAAATTGTGGCATATTCAAGATTTGTCAAAATGCATGTACACTTTTAATATTCAATCTGTTAATAAATCAAGTCTTATTTGGGAATTCCATCATCTGTATATCTTACTCCTATGTATATCATACTTGCTTCTACTTTCAACTGTAGAATCAATACTATTTACATTAGATTTAAAGTCAAATTGACACAGCTTAATTGTAAACCAGCTTTAAAAATACACGTGGGCATGTGAAAACCCCGTTCTCTTCTATCACACTCAATTTTACACTGCTCTCAACAATTTACAAATGTCATACTTTTTAAAAAAAAAAAAAAATCACCTTTCAAAAGCTGATTCAGGTCCATGGCATCATGTAAGACTTTTCGACTATATCGGCGATCAAACTCGGAATCTAATGAAAAAGATACAGGTATAAGATTGGATATCCCAGCCTCGTTGATTTTTACAAGTTTTGTGTTGTACTTAAATTCTTCAAAATTACCATATGGTTCTTGGCTCACGTTCTCCTGTCTTTTTATTTTTAATTTCTTATCATTTGATGCTGCAAGTTCGAAAGACTGGATAGGACTGATGTCTGGGGTTGACAAAGGTGTTACATCAGTCACCGTGTCTTCAGACTCCTCCAAGTAGTCACCAAGCTTTGGTTTTCCTTCTGCTAATTTCATTCCTGATCTGAATTTTTGTTTTGGAGACAGAAGAGCCACACTACAAGCATTCCTCTTTGAGGAAGAATGTGATGAATCTGATAAACAGCTATCAGAATCTGTATCAGAACAGTCTGTATCTGAGCTTGAGGATGAGGAAGATGAGGAAGAGGAAGATGAGGAAGAAGAGGAGGAGCTGATACTAGTATATTTTTTGTTAGCTTTTTTCATGCTGCTTGATTGCTTAGCTGTCTTTGGTCTAACCTTCTGTTTTTTGCCATCATCACTACTATCTTCTTCATCTGTATAATAATCCTCTTCACCTTCTTTAACTATTTTGGGGATTCCAGCAGGCACGTTCTCCTGTGCTCCCCTATTTGCTGCAGCTGTTGCTCCAGATGTGCCTGCATTCTCTGAAACCGGAGAAAGTGACAAAGATGAAGCATCCCCGGGATGGTCTGTCAGATTTTCTAGGGACTGATCCTTCACCAAGTCTTTCTGCTTCTCTTCGCTTTCCTTCTCAGAACAGTTCTCATCCTTTGAATTAGAAGCCAAGTCAGGGTCTGAAAGAACTGCCTTCGTATTTCCCTTCTCTATAGATTCACCATTTTCCTCAACTTTCTTTTGCTGTTCCTCAAAATCACTGTCGAAGAAAGCATGATCCACCTCACCGTCTGACAAATCTTCAAACCGGTCCATCTCGAAATGTGAAGTGCTGCCTGAAACCATAAGAAAAGGTTTCCAAAGGTCAGCAAAAGAAGCAAATGCAAGTACACCTTCAGTTAAATCATTTTGCTCTATACTTGCTTAATTCTAGTCAATATAATTCTGCATTAAGTATGTTATGCAGCTAGGAACAACTCCATAGTTGAGCTTTATAAGGAAATTCAGTGCCACCTTATTGTACACAGCTTACATGTTACTGTTAGATCCAAAAAACATTACCTTAAGCTGATAGAATACACCATGATTTCAAGATCAGAGCTATTTTTATCCCCAAGGAAATTAGTCAAACATGGTTAGCGGCTAAAGAGCCTTAACAAACACGTAACTGAAGAGTCTGATTTTTGCCCCTTCGTACTAGAGCTACTGTATGGTACTAGTTCAAATTTTATACTTAAAAACCTTGGGACTATGTGCTGGTCATTGTCTTGGCTGACACAGCCGCCCAAATTGGAGACTTTCCATGCTAAAAGTAGCAGCTGTCTCAATTTACGGCAGAGACCCACGGCCCCACAGGTTAAATTATAGTAGATGTGGGGTGTGTCAGTGCTAACGCTTCAGTAGCGGAAGGGTGCTTCTCTGGGCAGTCCTCTGTGATTTGGTTCACAATGCACAGCACCCGTGAGCAAGCTTGATTCCTTTCAGATGAAGTTAACCTTAAGGTGCGCTCCAGGCATGAATCTAGTGCACTCCAACCAGTATGCATCATTCAGTCTGTGGGACTAGATTACAGCGAGTCACAACCAAAAACCCCAAATGCATAGAGAGTGGGTATCAGGTCCTCAGAACCAACTGTTACGCTCTACAGATCTGTTCATACTGCATCATACCTCTTGCAGAAATAGATATTGTGTTAGATGCTATGTGAATCATGCATGTGTGTGTGGGCAGGGAAGAATCCGAAAGTTTCTATTCAATGGAATATACACAGAGTTAAAATGCGAAAAAAAAAAAAATGAATTAACAAAAAAACAAAATCAAACCCCAACCCATCACCAAACAAAAATAGCCAGTATCACAGACCACTCTTCCCTACTAGTTATGAGCACTTTTTTCCTACTATCTACAACAGGTTACACATAAATTCTGTGCGCTGCAGTCAATGAATACATAGAATTCTGCAGGTGCCCAAGGACACCAAGAAGAAAGCTAGTGGAAGCAAGTACGCAAGAGAAGAGAACCAGAATATTTTAAAAGAAGGAAGTTCTCCCTTAAACCACATGTAATTTGTTACCATGGCAAACAGAGGCAAGAAGGGAATTCCTAAGCTTGCTTTGGAACTGCAAGTCTATTCCCAGGAAAGCTTCCAGCTCAAATTATTTCAGTAGAATACAGAATTTAAGGTCTACAGCGAGCGCTCAGTTTTCTTGCCTCTTCCCAAATACTTCTCAGCTTCAGAGGATTTGAAATTATGCACTGCCACACAAGGACAACATGAAATATAAAAGCAGTTTGAGCAGTAAGAAGGTGTGGAATCTCCTGTGGCTTTAAGAACCACAAAGCCAAAAAAGTGAGGAGACCTGATAACATCAGATATTGTATAAAGCTGAAAACACTACTGAACAATAAAAGCAGAGGCCAACTTTGGTGCCATAAGAAGAGAAACTCTTCAAAGTGCCTAACTGCTGCAAGTGCAACAAAACTAGGATACAAGCAGAATAAAACACCTGGGAACTCCTAATTTGAAATTCTACACGGAACCTGGAAACTTTTTTGTGTGTATGTCACTTCCTGTGATCCCTGGGTTCAGGTAGCTTGTACAGTTTGCAACGCCCATCTCTTGTATGCGTTCCTAGAGGAGATTTGTAAAAGGACAATGTAACCCTTACAATTAGAAACAAAAAAATCAGAAGTAAACAACATGGCATTATTTACATTTCATATTCTACCTCATGTAACTCAAAAAAGAAGGGAGCGACACAGAATTGTTTGGCATTACCTGTAGACCATAGAACATGAATTATTTATTTAGCAGTACGACTTGGATATCCAAGTCATTTTATCAAGAAAGTTAAATAGCAAGTATAGGGTTAAAATTTAAATGCAAATCTTCCTTCTTCTGTATAATGAAAAGTATTTATTACCTAACACATTAGCATCCCTCTAGTTTGTAGCTTCAAATAGATAAATTATGACTGATTGGTAAAAGTAGGCATATATAGCATATTTCACTTGTCTCAAGCACACAGTATTTGATATACTGTTAGCATTGTTGTGCACATAAGAGTGTAAGGGAATTAGGCGAAAACAGGTTTGCCAGTAGAGGTAGACCAGCTCAAAACACAAAATTCTATAAGACACATACATGCCCACCTATATTTAGGGGAACGTTACGTAAACTATTCTGCAAATAAGGCAAAACTAGCAGTAGTTTGTCACCCATAATATAATACGTGGTCATGTCAAGACCCCTCAGATGTCTCTTTGCTGAACACAATCTCTTAAGGGGGGAAAGGGAACTAACTTCAGACAGTGGCAAGACTGCAGAGCAGAGGTGACAAAAGAGGTGATAAAAGACAGCAAGGGGCCTGCACGCTCCTTTCCATCATTAGGACCAGCCAAGAAGCATGCATCTTCCCACTCTGCATGACTTACAACGAGCTGACCAGCCAGTAAGCCATTTTCCATTAAGACTGAGGCAATAACTAATTAATGTCACCAATAAAACCACAGTTTAGCGGGCTCACTCTGCCTAAGGAGCAGCAGTGGTAACACAAGTCATTTCATTCCCAAATGCTCCTTCCACTTTTCTGGCACAATCCCTTAAATACTTCACTCTTCATCTTAATGAAAAACAGATGTGCTGCTTTGGTCAATTTCTCTCACTGATACTCTTAATCATTCACAGACTAAAGATTAATTAAGTTTGTAGCTTCCATTAAAGATAAACAGGAGGAAACAGATGAAGGGATGGTATTTTTTGTTCCTGTTCCCCTCCTGCATCATTCTAGAATGCCTTAAAGAGAGCTGGAATCTGCCACGTTACAGGGAAGAAGGAATTCTGCAGATAACGATGCCCAAATTAATAACACGCACACCTTCATATACTGTGCGGAACAATCTTATTTCTGGGGGAAGTGCAGAGTTCTACTAAGTTATCAATTGCTAAAATGGAATCAACAAGCGTTCCATGTTTGAACATGTTGTGCCTTTCGATAACATTTTTTGGACATTAGAAACTGAAGCTTTAGGAGTACATTAAGTACCTGTAGGGGATTCAAGGTATTTTAACTCTGGTTAAAACCTAAAGTTATCCAATAAATTTCTCACTTTTTTTATTCCCAGAGAATTGAAAATATGCATATTAGCGAATACTGAAGTAAGCCACAGAAAAAAGAAAGCATTCTGCATTAAAGTACAAGCAGCGATCAACTTTCTTCTCTGTCCTTTTAATCACTCTACTTTCATAATCAAGGAATAGGATGGCTCAAATAGGAAAGAAAAAGCCACCTCTCCTCTCCGTGTACTAACACCCGACGTAAATTACCAGCATACAGAATGCAACACCACATACTGGGAATCAGTACGCCACGCATCCTCTGAAGGCCCTGAGTGCTTTCAACAGTTCTTAAGATTTTGGCATTCAATAAAAACAGAGAACGAGACCCTTAAGCATGCTGAGGGCTGAATGAGAAATTTCTGATGTTATTTTGTGCATATTGTGCATCACCATGGAGGCCACAACACAGCACAGCTCCAGTACGCTCCAGATGAGTCAACAGTATGTTCCCTACAACAAAAAGGGGCAAAGACATCATTTTAGGATGTGTTAACAAACACATACCAAAGTATCAGAAGCAATAATAATGCTATATTCTGCTCCATTAAGGGACCTTCTGGTTTCGGGTTATTACTTTTGCTCTGTAAGAACAATCTGTAATTGCTTTGGAAAGAACTAACCCATCAAGCAACTTTTTCCCAGACTGTACAAACAATTATTGTTCCCATACATGACACCTCTCCTTTCAACGGGAAATTTCTACCTCTTCTGAACTGGGTCCCACCCTCCTAATCTCAGGGAGCAGAAATAAGTGTTTGAGGGCTAAATGGTTAGAAGGCAAAAGTATTTAATTAAAGGTGCTTACATTAAAAGTGTTTAATTTATACTTTCAATGGTAGATGTTCTTTAGGAAATTCCAAAATCCTCTGACCCACTTTACTCACTGCCCCCCCTCCCCCCCCCGTCAGGGGTCCTGCTCCCTTAGTAATGCTGACTGCCAAATCACCTCTTGTATGGTGCACTTTGAGGGGGTGAAAAGGCAAAACACATAATTTGACCACCACTTTCGTATATGACAATCAATAAACAAGTTACTATGTAAAAGAGCACTAGTTCAAACTCATTCCTCCCTCATTTTTGGCTGACAAAAAAGGGGGGACAAACTGAAAGGAGTTCAGAAGAGAGCAAGACAAACTTTAAGATTAGAGAAGTGCAACATCGGAGAGTTTGTTAAATTTAAAAAGAGGGAAAATACGGAAAAAGGTACCTCTTAAAACAAGTTTTAAAATGTAGTTTGCTGTCAGATATAATCAACAAGAGTGGTGAAGATCAGCTAGTGCAGCCGCTCCCAATCACATGCCAAACCAGGCATACCCAACCGTACCCACCTCCTCTTTAATTACAGATTTCAGTTTTGCTATTAAAAACAACAGAGCATGGAAAGGAGGAAGAATTTCTCCCAGGAAACTATTTCCCTCCAGGGGAAACCACCACTGAACGAAACAACCTGCCTTCCTTGAGGTTTTAGTAATCTTCTAATTTTCCAAGCTCAGAGCGCAGGACCTGCTACTGCTGTTTCGCATACCTCATGCCCTCCAAACTTGGGTACGAGTTTCCCCTCACCTTTCTACCTACTTTCCTCAATCCAGTCCAAGAGGTTCATGACCAACCTGCAAAATGTAAGGCCTCAGCCCTAGCTCAGATTAAGGTCCAACACTACAAACCTATCCAAGCTCTGCTCCTCCAGACACTTATATATCCTCCATTGGACCTGTT